TTCGGTTGCAGAATCGGATGCTTTTGAGGATGTAGTAAAAATAGCTCGTTTGCCTGAAATAACTCCTGTTACTGATGGTGTTTCGGTTATTGATGATTATAATTTGGCTGTGGATGAGCCAAAAGAAGAGGCATATGATACCCCTTCTGTAAATTTAGTCAGGCCAGCTGATTTGCCGGAAGTAACTGAAGTTACTGATAGTGTTCTGGTTATGGATGCTTATAATTTGGCTGCGGATGAGCCAAAAGAACAGTCATATGATGCCCCTTCTGTAAATTTAGTCAAGCCTGTTGATTTGCCGGAAGTTGCTCAACTTAAAGATGATGTTCCGGTTATTGAGGCTTACAGTTTGGTTGTTGGGAAGTTGACAGAGGAAACCTATAATTCAGTTGTGGAAACTATCCCTGTTGTTGGGTCAGAGAATGTATCTAAAGAGGTGGTTCGTGCAAATGATAGTTCAACAGTGGAGAGTGCTATATGTTCTAATTTGCTTGAATTGGGGTTGAAGGAAAATCGAAAAAATGAGACTTTAGGGGTTTTACCAGTTGTGATGGATATGGGATCACAACCAAAGAAGGATAAAGTGATTTCGACAGCAGTTGAGAGTTCTGCAGTTTCTTCTGTTGCAACGGCCTCTTCAGCACGAGTGGATGAAGACAAACTGTTTCCGTCATCCAGTGTTCCAGCAGTTGATAATAGTAATGGTGCAGACCTTATAAAAGATTCTGTGATTACTGAAGCCTCTGATAGCCAGGTACTACTTACACCTTCTTTCTTCTTGCCCAGTTCAGTTTCATTCTCTCTTTGCAATCTCCCAGAGCTTCAGATCGATATCGCAGAGTACGAAGGATGAATCGAGAGAGAGAGAGAGCAAGACAGTGGAGCTTCAGAGCTTCAAATCGAATCGCTCTGATGTGAGCTTCAAACCGAAATTCTGGTTTCCAACCAAGTCAAATTTTGAATCTGTATGAATCTCAAAGAAAATGGCTCTGAATCGAAATTGTTGTCAAGGGTTTAGAAGCAATTGGGGGTGAGCAAGAGAGAGGCGTGGGGATTGTGAAGGCGTGAGATTCAAAATAAGGGTTTCCAAAGCTTTAACAAGTATTCTCACATTCAAAATAGCGCGTGAGGGCCAACGTATTTGGAGGCGTTTCCGATTTCAAAACGGTGTCGTTTTATTAACAAAATATGCGATGTTTTTATAAAACGTCGTTAAATATTTATAAAAGTGGCGTTTAAAAAAACGCCGTCTAAACCTATTTTTCCTGCAGTGATTTCTCTTCAATAACTCTGTTGCATGATTTATTTGTTTATTTATTTATATTACATCGTGTAAATGTTTTGATTGTATATATAGAATTCGGAGTTTTGCATTTATAACAATGGATGAAAAGAAGTTTATGAGGCCATTTAGTAGCTGAGGCAGGTATTTAACTAGTAACATTTTTTAATAAAAAATCTGTGATATTTCTAGGCCAAATAGCAAATTGCATGTTTCTATGCCATTTACATACCAACTCTTCTTTCTGGTTTGCTTCTATTCTTTTTCACTATAATTGTCAATTTTTGTTATGCCAAGTGGACAAACAAGTCTTGGAATGTATTGTTTTACTTTGTTAGGTATGTTTGAAACCCCTTAGGTAGAACTCACACTTCAAAAACACCTTGCAAGGGTATTTATCAGAAAAATAAAAAAATAAAAAAAAACACCTTGCAAGGGTGCTAAAGAGGATTATATTCAAAATGCCAAGCCTTTGGTGTTCTGATGTGGAATCCTAACATGCCACTGCACTCCACAGTCGACATCCACAGTGGCCCACTCTATCGATATTAACCCAATGGTAGCCTTTTCCCTTTCGGTGGCCTCACTCACTTATCAGTGTTCGACACCTTAACAGGTGTCTTAATCCAACCTATAGGTTGCCTCTACAGCTCGAACCACAAAGTTGCACCCATCCGATCCCATATTTGCGTAGGTGCATCTGATCCCATACTCGATGTGGTGGCTATAACATGATAATTTCATAAATAAATCTAAACAGTCTATTTACGTTTAATTCATGTGAAACCCATGTAACTATATTAGTCAATTAATATAAATGAATCCGAAATCATATTCAAATCCAATATAGCACCCATGATAGGTACAAAAAGAAATGTATTGAATCAATTATAATTCAGTATTATGCGATATGGGATAATTTTTGAGTCATATATATAGGTTTTGGAATCATCACTCTTTTGTCAGTGTGTCTCTGCTGCACGGGGGGCTTTTTTTTGTTGGGATTTGTTGTGCTTTTAATGGTCTCTTGGATAACATTCTGTATGTTTGGTTTTAATTTTTTAAATTAAATTTTTTTTATTCTTTATTTTTTTTTTTGTTTTTAATAAATATTTTTAAAATTTTAAGTAATTTTTTTTAATATTTTTTTAGATACACCGTACTTAGATGTATCAAAAAAGTAAAATATTTGTAAACAAATTAATAAATACATAAAAATATGAAAAATGTACTGAATTCTCATATTTTTTTAATTTTTTTTTTGTAATTTTCATATTTAGTAAATTTTTTAAAGATCTTTTCACAATATTATACTTTTTAAGTGTACTTATATTAGGTGTATCTAAAAATTAAAAGAAAAAATTGTTTATAATATTAAAAAAATTCAGTAAAAACAAAAAAATATATAAAAAATAAAAAATTTTAATTTTTTGAAAAATAAATCCTAAAAATTCAAATCAAACAAACTGATTGGCTTTCTGTATGTGTGTTTTTTTCTTGAGTCTTGACAGATGTGACACAGTTTGTAGATGGGTGGCCCCAACCTCTCTCTCTCTCTCTCTCGTAATGTTTTAATTAAAAAATTTTATTTTTTAAACTTTGAGTACAAAGATTGCCACAAAATCAGGAGGATAAAGAGTTGGCCAAATCCATAACACCATGTAGATGTGGGTTTAACCAATACTGTTGCTTGACATCTGTACTATAACTCTTATATTTTGAGTCATGTAAACACATGACTCAAAGTTGAGTGATCACACAATTAACGTGGTGTTTCAAAAAGACTAAATAATAATGCCTCACCAAAACCTAAGTGAAACATGACTATTTGAGCATTATCAATAGATGTGGTAAAAATAATTTTCAGTGTGCTATAAAGTGACAAAAATATGACTTAATTTTGTATGTTAAAGATTTGTTAATTTAGTGAGTATATAAATGTTATAATAAAAATGTTAAAATGTGTTAAGGTAGTGATAGATTAATGTGGGGGTAGACTAGAATATATAAATTTGTATATAGGGAGTGAATAAAATAATTTAAATTGATTTTTGGGTTATTTTCTTGTTGAAAAGTCAATATTTTAATCACAATGGATTCACAAATGTTAGCAGTTGTGTTAACAACATTAGCACATCAGATAAAAAAAACACTTTCCTACTACTTTTTTAGCACATCAGATAAAAAAAGCAATTTCCTACTACTTTATAGTATAGCAACTGTGTTAACACTTGCGGTGTGAAAGCTCAAAGGTGTTTTAGATCTAAGTAAAATGTTAATGGAAGAGTCATATTAGTGTCATTTGAATCTACAATTCATTAATATATATATATAGATAATAAATAAATAAATTTATTTCTACAATTCATAAGCTACGTGTTAACTTTTCAACAATATAAGAGTCATATTGTTGTTTACATAGTGGGCATTTAGTAATATTTGAGATTGATGATGGGCATTTAAGTCATATTGCCCCTCAATACTAAAGATATTTTGTTTTTTAGATGGGAGATACAAAGGATATTAAATGAATAAAATTGGAATATGGATGGAATATAATAAAGTAAAATACTCCTTATAAAATGAGATACGGAAGAGAATCACTATGAAAAAAATTTGGAACCTGCAAAGAAAGCTTCGAGTTCATATTGATGGTAGATTTAGAACAAGAATTGAATTCTATAAGATATAACCTCCTGTTATTCCTTAGTAGCTCAATGACAGAGCAGTCGACAGTTAACTAATTGATTGTATATTCATAATATCGATTTAGTCTAAAGTTCGTGTGAACTTGGAGTCTTTCTGGAAAATAGATTTGTGTTGCATAGTAACTGAGCTCCTTTTTGACTTAATTTAAGCTAAAAGTTGATCACTTAAGCTAGACCAAACACTCAAAAACTACTTAATTTAAGCTAAAAGCTGAAATAAGCTGATTTTAAACTCTACCAAATGGGGCTAAAGAGATAAGTAAAAGCGGCATGTAAACAATACTAAAGATATTTTGTTTTTTAGATGGGAGATACAAAGGATATTAAATGAATAAAATTGGAATATGGATGGAATATAATAAAGTAAAATACTCCTTATAAAATGAGATACGGAAGAGAATCACTATGAAAAAAATTTGGGACCTGCAAAGAAAGCTTCGAGTTCATATTGATGGTAGATTTAGAACAAGAATTGAATTCTATAAAATATAATCTCCTGTTATTCCTTAGTAGCTCAATGACAGAGCAGTCGACAGTTAACTAATTGATTGTATATTCATAATATCGATTTAGTCTAAAGTTCGTGTTAACTTGAAGTCTTGCTGGAAAATAGATTTATGTGTTGCATAGTAACTGAGTCTTGTCCACAAGAATTGAATTCTATAAGATATAACCTCCTGTTATTCCTTAGTAGCTCAATGACAGAGCAGTCGACAGTTAACTAATTGATTGTATATTCATAATATCGATTTAGTCTAAAGTTCGTGTTAACTTGAAGTCTTGCTGGAAAATAGATTTGTGTTGCATAGTAACTGAGTCTTGTCCATTGCAGTCTGTGGAGTTGTCTTGTAATACTAACATCTGATGACTCAAAACTGCTTTTAGTGCATTGAAGATTTGAGCATGAATCCTCATATAACAAGTAATAAGATACAATAAAAAACATGCCTTAATCTGGAGTTCTCTATTGCTTTAAATCTTGTGAAAATTGAATGTTTACACTAATTTACTTGTAAATCCATTACAGAGGTGACTGGTTGGATAGTTACCGGGGAAAGGCAGGCAGAGCGCATAAGGTGATTGTACTTGAAAACAATATTAAGACAGGACATTGCATTCTTCGACACTGAAACTACCACCAGAGAGGTCATTGGTAGAATGTCTGGCGATACAATTCTCATCCAAGATGCTATGGGTGAAAAGGTTACTGAAGACTCCATTCTTCAAAACTTGCTGCCAAGTACAATCAATTAACGCACCTAAGTCAGTTTCTATAATAATTTCATTACTTGCAATGCTATGACAGGTAGGAAAGTTCATACAACTGATGTCAACATTTATCGGAGGATTTGCCATTGCCTTTGCTAGAGGATGGCTTCTCTCATTAGTCTTGCTTACGTGCATTCCCGCTCTAGTCATTGCCGATGGAGGCATGGCCATAATCATGACAAGAATGTCTAGCTGTGGACAAGTTGCTTATGCAGAGGCTGGAAATGTTGTTGAACAAACGGTCGGAGGCATTAGAACAATGAGGCACCACAAAACTTGTAGTAATGAATTGTTGTCCTGAATTTTCTAAGTCCTGAATTTTGTGACCCTCTTTATGACAGGTGGCATCCTTCACCGGAGAGAAGCTAGCAATAAATAAGTACAACAGCAAACTGCAGATTGCCTATGCCGCTACTACTCAACAACAGTAATCATTTTCAGTAGTTATGGACTTGCCATATGGTATGGATCAAAACTGATCATCGACAAAGGATACAATGGTGGAGTAGTCATTAATGTCATCATGGCCATCATGACTGGTGGAATGTAAGCATAAAATTTTCTAGCCACAGAAAAACAATGTGCTAATACCCTCTTAATTCTGTAATTGTGTCCCTAATTCTGTTTTGACTGATTGATCTGAGTGGGGTTTCGCTTCATATAGGTCATTGGGCCAGACGTCCCCGTGCTTGAATTCATTTGCTGCAGGGCAAGCAGCAGCATACAAGATGTTTGAGACAATCAAGCGAAAACCACAGATTGATGCGTATGACACAAGTGGGATTGTAATGGAAGATATAAAGGGCGAAATTGAACTGAAAGACGTGCACTTCAGATACCCGGCCAGGCCCGACGTTCAGATATTCTCTGGATTCTCTTTACAGGTTCCAAGTGGCACAACCACAGCCTTAGTTGGGCAAAGTGGAAGCGGGAAATCAACAGTTATCAGCCTATTGCAGAGATTCTATGACCCTGAAGCCGGTGAAGTGCTCATAGATGGTATCAATTTGAAGAAGTTTCAACTCAAATGGATAAGAGAGAAAATGGGTCTTGTTAGTCAAGAGCCTATTTTGTTTGGCACTACAATAGGAGAGAATATAGCATATGGAAAGGAAAATGCTACCAATGAAGAGATTAGAACAGCAATAGAGCTTGCTAACGCAGCCAAGTTCATCGACAAGCTTCCAAAGGCAAATCTTCCCCCTCCCCTCTCCCTTTTTTATAGTAATTCTTTCACTTGTAATGACTGATCTAATTAGCACTAGTAAAAATTTGTTTATAGGGGCTTGACACTATGGTAGGAGAGCATGGAAGCCAACTATCTGGTGGACAAAAGCAAAGAATAGCAATTGCAAGAGCAATTCTAAAGAACCTGAAAATTCTTCTCCTTGATGAAGCAACAAGCGCTCTAGACGCCGAGTCAGAACGTGTTGTACAAGATGCGCTGACAAACATTATGTCAAACAGGACTACTATGGTAGTTGCACACTGTCTGACAACAATCAGAAATGCCGACCTCATAGCAGTGGTGCAGGTGGGGAAAATCATGGAACGAGGTATAGACCATATCATCACTCCTTCAACTTGAAAGTTCAGTTTTTTATAAATTTATTAAGTCAAAACCAACTTCAAAATTCAATGCCAATTGCCAGGAACTCATGGTGAGTTGATCAAGGATCCAGAAGGGGCTTACTCACAGCTCATTCGCTTACAAGAAGGGACAAACAAAGTTGAAGATCCGCGAAGGAGTGACAGATAATCTCGATACAATTCAGGATGTAGACATAACAATGGGCAGGTCTGCAAGCCAGATATTATCCATGAGAAGATCAATAAGCAGAGGTTCATCAGGTAGCCAACGCTCTTTCAGAATTAGCTTTGGACTACACGGCCCTATTGGAATCTGTTAAATGTATAGATGAGAAGAAGAAGAAGAAGAAGAAGAAGAAGGAATAGAACAAGAGAAAGCTTCTGTAGATTATTAATTCAAAACTTAGGGTTTCCCCCTTACACACAACTACTTATACTAATAAGAATAATACATAAAGACCAAACTACCCCTAACACTTAACACTCCCCCTCAAGTTGGTGCAAAGATGCTTCCCTATATTTGGATTCCTACTTTCAACAGCTATTAACATTTTCTATGAACCACACGATGAGCTAAGAAAGGACTCAAGGTTTTGGGCACTTATGTTTGTGGGACTCGGTGTTGTTATTCTGTTTGTCGCACCAGTGCAGAATTACTTCTTTGGAATTGCAGGTGGTAAGTTGATAATGCGAATTCGTGCCTTGACGTTTGAGAAGACTGTCCATCAAGAAATCAGTTGGTTTGATAACCCTAAAAATTCAAGGTGTGTTTTAGTAATTTGTACTTTTGATTGATCAAATGCTCTCTATTTCAAACGGCCTTTTGAACTGAAAGTTTTGAGTTCATTTCAGTGGTGCAGTTGGAGCAAGGTTGTCTACTGATGCTTCAACAGTGAGGAGTCTTGTGGGTGATTCATTGGCGCAAATTGTACAGAACATAACAACAATTATAGCAGGGCTTGTCATATCATTCACAGCTAATTGGATGTTGGCACTCATAATTCTATCTGTGTTGCCCTTGGTGGGATTGCAAGGATTCTTTCAATCTAAATTCTTAAAAGGGTTCAGTGAAGATGCCAAGGTCAGTCCATTATCCTAAGTTATGGCCAGAGCCATTTTAGCACAGTTAGGACAGTAAAACAAACCAAACTACTCAAACTCAACATTTGAAATTGGCTTGTTATGTAACAAGCTAAGTTTGAGCACATTTATCTCAAATTCTATTTGAGAAGGTTATATACATTATATGAAAATCAAGCTATTTGAGCTCAACTCGAGTAAGGCTCGTTTGAGATTGGCTCGAAAGGTAAATAAGCTAAACTTGGACACAATTTGAAACTTGTTAAGTTTTCAAGTCAACCTTAAAGAACTGACTACTTGACTTGACTCATTTTTAGCCCTAAGCATAAGTGTACAGCAGACATTTAAATGAGAAGGGGTGGATTTTGAGGGGATTAATCTTTATCACATACTAATCAAGTTAGATTTTTGTAAATGTCTGTAGGTGATGTATGAAGATGCGAGCCAAGTTGCAAACGATGCCGTGGGCAGCATTAGAACAGTTGCATCATTTTGTGCTGAAAAGAAAGTCATAGAAATGTATAAAAACAAATGTGAGGCCCCCATGAAACATGGAGTTAGGATTGGACTTGTGAGTGGTATTGGCTTTGGATCTAGTCTTTTTGCACTCTACTGCACATATGCCTTCTGTTTCTACATTGGAGCTGTTCTAGTGCAACATGGGAAAGCTACTTTTGGGGAAGTTTTCAAGGTATAAATAAATTCGTAGTGTTTTTTTTTTTGTTTTTTTTTGTTTTTTATTTAAACCTTCACTTTCTAATTACGCATTTTTTCCACTTCCAAACAAATGGTTTTGCAGGTTTTCTTTGCTTTGACAATTTCAGCAATGGGTATTTCCCAAACCACTGCTTTAGCCCCAGACACCAACAAAGCTAAGGACTCTGCTGCTTCTATCTTTGAAATTATTGACAGCAAGCCCAAGATTGATTCAAGCAGCAATGAAGGCACAACCCTAGCAACCATAAGCAGGAGGGGAAAATCGTGGAACGAGGTATAAACCATATCATCACTACTTCAACTTGAAAGTTCAGTTTTTTATAAATTTAATAAGTCAAAACCAACTTCAAAATTCAACGCCAATTGCCAGGAACTCATGGTGAGTTGATCAAGGATCTAGAAGGGGCTTACTCACAGCTCATTCGCTTACAATAAGGGACAAACAAAGTTGAAGATCCGCGAAGGAGTGACATAGATAATCTCGATACAATTCAGGATGTAGACATAACAATGGGCAGGTCTGCAAGCCAGCTATTATCCATGAGAAGATCAATAAGCAGAGGTTCATCAGGTAGCCAACGCTCTTTCAGAATTAGCTTTGGACTACACGGCCCTATTGGAATCCAAACAGATATAGAAGGAGAGGAGAGTAGTAAAAGAAGTGAGACAGATGATAAGAAACGCCGCCAAGTGTCCATTAAACGCCTAATGTACCTAAACAACCAGAGTTGCCGGTTTTGCTGCTTGGATCCATTGCTGCAGGCATTAATGGTGTAACCTTCCCTATATTTGGACTCCTACTTTCAACAGCTATTAAAATTTTCTATGAACCACACGATGAGCTAAGAAAGGACTCAAGGTTTTGGGCACTTATGTTTGTGGGACTCGGTGTTGTTATTCTGTTTGTCGCACCAGTGCAGAATTACTTCTTTGGAATTGCAGGCGGTAGGTTGATAATGCAAATTCGCGCCTTGATGTTTGAGAAGGCTGTCCATCAAGAAATCAGTTGGTTTGATAACCCTAAAAATTCAAGGTGTGTTTTAGTAATTAGTACTTTTGATTGATCAAATTTTCTCTATTTCAAAAGGCCTTTTCACCTGAAAGTTTTGAATTCATTTCAGTGGTGCAGTTGGAGCAAGGTTGTCTACTGATGCTTTAACAGTGAGGAGTCTTGTGGGTGATTCATTGGCCCAAATTGTACAGAACATAACAACAATTATAGCAGGGCTTGTCATATCATTCACAGCTAATTGGATGTTGGCACTCATAATTCTATCTGTGTTGCCCTTGGTGGGATTGCAAGGATTCTTTCAAATTAAATTCTTAAAAGGGTTCATTGAAGATGCCAAGGTCAGTCCATTATCCTAAGTTATGGCCAGAGCCATTTTAGCACAGTTAGGACTGTAAAACAAACCAAACTACTCAAACTCAACGTTTGAAATTGGCTTGTTATGTAACAAGCTAAATTTGAGCACATTTATCTCAAATTCTATTCGAGAAGGTCATATACATTATATGAAAATCAAGCTATTCGAGCTCAACTCGAGTAAAGCTCGTTTGAGATTGGCTCGAAAGGTAAATAAGCTAAACTTGAACAAAATTTGAAACTTGTTAAGTTTTCAAGTCAACATTAAAGAACTGACTACTTGACTTGACTCATTTATAGCCCTAAGCATAAGTGTATAGCAGACATTTAAATGAGAAGGGGTGGATTTTGAGGGGATTAATCTTTATCACATTCTAATCAAGTTAGATTTTTGTAAATGTCTGTAGGTGATGTATGAAGATGCAAGCCAAGTTGCAAACGATGCCGTGGGCAGCATTAGAACAGTTGCATCATTTTGTGCTGAAAAGAAAGTGATAGAAATGTATAAAAACAAATGTGAGGCCCCCATGAAACATGGAGTTAGGATTGGACTTGTGAGTGGTATTGGCTTTGGATCTAGTCTTTTTGCACTCTACTGCACATATGCCTTCTGTTTCTACATTGGAGCTGTTCTAGTGCAACATGGGAAAGCTACTTTTGGGGAAGTTTTCAAGGTATAAAATAAATTTGTAGTGTTTTTTTTTTTTTTAAAACCTTCACTTTCTAATTTCACATTTTCTCCGCTTCCAAACAAATGGTTTTGCAGGTTTTCTTTGCTTTGACAATTTCAGCAATGGGTGTTTCCCAAACCACTGCTTTAGCCCCAGACACCAACAAAGCTAAGGACTCTGCTGCTTCTATCTTTGAAATTATTGACAGCAAGCCCAAGATTGATTCAAGCAGCAATGAAGGCACAACCCTAGCAACCATAACTGGAGATATTGAGTTCAAACATGTCAGCTTCAATTACCCAACACGACCCGATGTTCAAATTTTCAGAGATTTATGCTTAACCATTCCTTCTGGAAAGGTAATAACCACGCACAAGCACAGCCTCGTTCTTCTTCAATAATTTTTGCTCAATTTTGCTAAGCCAAAAATTTTATCACTGAATGTTGCTCTTGTTGGGGAAAGTGGTAGCGGGAAGTCCACCGTAATAAGCCTAATTGAGAGATTCTATGATCCCGAGTCTGGCCATATATTTCTAGATGGAGTGGAGATCCAAAAGCTCAAACTGAGCTGGTTAAGGCAACAAATGGGGTTGGTAAGTCAAGCACCAGTACTTTTCAATGAAACGATCTGGACTAACATAGCTTATGGGAAGCAAGGAGAAGCTGCTGAAGAAGAGATCATTGCAGCCGCGAAAGCAGCGAATGTACACAACTTCATATCGGCATTGCCACATGGCTATGACACCAATGTCGGGGAGAGAGGGGTTCAATTATCGGGCGGTCAGAAGCAACGGATAGCCATTGCAAGGGCAATAGTGAAAGGCCCTAAGATCCTCTTACTTCACGAAGCAACGAGTGCGTTAGATGCAGAATCAGAGCGTGTGGTGCAAGATGCATTGGACAGAGTGATGATGAATAGAACTACCATTGTTGTTGCTCACCGGCTCACCACCATTAGATGTGCTGATGTAATAGCCGTTGTGAAGAATGGGGTGATTGCAGAGAAAGGAACACATGATGTGCTCATGAAGATCACTGATGGTGCATATGCATCTCTAGTGGCACTTCACATGGCATCCTCAAAGTAGACACAAACCATTGATTGACTCCAGCTGCTTCTTTTTTCTTTTCTTTTTTCCTTTTTCTTTTTTTAATCTCTGTTTTTGTTAGAATTTACCAATTTACTCCTCCACCTACCATCTCCACTAGCACCCACTTCACCTACCACCTCCACTACACTACACCTACTACCCAATCCTCTCCTATATAATTAGTACCTCACCATCTGTAATTCATATATCAAAACAACAATCTTGTAATTAATCAATCAATAATACATAAGTTTTAACATGGTATCAGAGCAAGTTTAAAGATCTTGGTGTTCTTCGCCTTCCGGCGGGCGGCAACCTTGCCTTGACCGTCCGCCGGATCTCAACCAATCTAGCCATTGAAAATCAATCCACACAACAAATAACAGTCCAGGAATCCAAAAACAAAGCCAAAAAACTAACTCAGACAAAACAAGGTACCTTTATAAGCAGTACCAGAGCCAAAATGCAGCAAGGGAGGCCAAAAAATGAACAAAAACCAAGAGAAACCTCACCAATCCTTCAAAACAAGAACTTGAGCCCCCTCAGAAGTCCCAGTCGGCTCCCAGTGGAAGAGCAAAAAGAGACGAAAAAAAAAATAGCCCTAAAAGGACTCCAGCAACATATTCCGAAAATAGCCAGTTTTTGCAAAAAATCAACAAGAATTGGAAAAACTACCAAATAATTAACAAAAAATTAAAATAAAATCATGGGGAGAAAGCCCATTAAATTTCGAACATGGAAGATTTTTTTTTTTTTTAACAGAAAAAACGAGAAAAGAAGAACAGGAGGAGAACACAATCTTCGAGGAAGATGTAGCTCTAATACCATGTTAGATGAGAGAAGAAGAAGAAGAATGAGAGAGAGAAAAACTAATGTTGTATTAACAATGGGATCAATTAGGGTTCTCCCCTCTTACACATGTATTTATAATATAAAACTAGATAATAAAATGACATAGCTACCCTTAGACATGTACACTTAACAATTTGTGTGGTTCTCATGCATGCCCGACACAAGTGAATGGCTTAGATGGAATGGTGTCATGAGTTGACACTTTCAAGTCCAATATCGTGACGCTTGCATTTGTGGTGGCCTTTGTTGTGCTCAGTTTATGCCTTTGGAAGTGCCATATGCGGGTGTGGCGTCAGATTCCAAGTCAAGTGATTTGGCGCCTCAACATGCCTTGGAGTTTGGCCCCAAGTAGTCCAACGTGTGCATGTTAGGGAGCATGCCTAGTGTCGCAAGCACACGCCCTCCTAAGATCGGAATTTTTCAAGAATTGAGAAATTATTAGAAAATCATTATGACTCCTCAAATAGGTAAGTGTTTCTTTGAGGCAATCAGCAAGGGGCTTAAAGTGCTATTTTAATAGTGTCCCAGCTAAATGCCTCCACAATGTGTGATGGGTTCCAAGCACACATCCTCATGATAACCTAGGGACGGACCTTTGACATACCATGAGGGTTGTCATTGGTCTCCATGTAGGTTTGGGAGCCCCATAGACACTGTCACAAGAGGCATTAGTGCAGACACTGCACATCTAATCTCGGCATGAGGTTTGGGATATGAACCTACTATATCATGTATTGCAACACATTGTGGTGTCAACCTAGATCGAATGGAATGGGATATCGAAGCACCAACAAAAGGCCTCTTGTGCCAACTCATGAACATGCGCTTCGGTTCAGCTGTGAATATGGGGGCCTTGTTGTGAAGCGAAGTCCCACATCACCCAAGTACTAAAATAATATTAAGCATATAAGCGTGAGGGCACTCTCACCTCTTGAGCTAGCTTTTGAGGTTGAGTTCTACCCAAGACCGTGCAACATGGTATCAAAGCCGAAGTACTTAGGGATAGGTAAGGTGTGTGACCCTGGCTTGTACGCCACAAGTGTTATCAAGTGAGTAAGTTGGGCGTGAGGAAGGGTGTGAAGTGAAGTCCCACATCACCCAAGTACTAAAATAATATTAAACATATAAGTGCAACATCAAGTTGGCTTAGTTGTGGGCAACACTAACATGGGATGCCTCAGTTGAGCAAGCGTCTTGCTCTTAAGTGAGCTTGGCACCATAAAGCAACATGAGCCGTGCTTGGTGCACTGTGGACATCAAGTCTACTTGTGGCATTCAGAAGGCAAACCCTTCTCTATGGGAGTTGTTCTTGCTTGATAAAGCATTGGGCCTACATTTGACAAGATGGGTGAAGATTCAACACTTATGGTCATGAGGAGACTTTGAACTTGGTAGAATTCAAGCACCTCATGGGCCAAAATTGGTTCCACTACATACTCAAAAGAGTCTGCCTATGACACATGGCCACGTCAGTGTCACAGATGGCACTGAATAATAAATTACTCATGTGTGAAAAAGTGGACACAAGATCTTTTGTTCCAAACTCACTGACCTCTATCCTACTAATACACTCCCAACCGCAAAATCATGACTCAAGATTCTCATGCTTTGAAATTCTTACCAAATTGTAATTGGTTATAAATGCATTAAAATTTGAGGACTGAGATTTTGGGAACACAAAACCCTTTGGCGAAAGAGATGGGAGGGGGGGCATACCTCATTTGTTGAGGGGAAGGTAGCCTTGTCATGGTTGGCGTTTAAAACAAACTAGACAAAACAATACTTCATAGGAAACAACACAGAATCCTCTAAAAGGGTCCACTATTTCATGCTAGCATGTGTACTTTTTTGCAATCGTTTTCCATATACTAGACAAATCAATGTTATGAAAAGCGCGCCTAGGCGCCAGGCGAGGCGAGGCGCACTGTTTGCGCCTATACAGGTCCCAGGCGAGGCGACTTGAGGTAAGCTCGCGCCTTAGCCACGACTTGAGCTAGGTGATAGAGATGCAAGGCGCACGACTAGGCGCGCTTGATTTATTAGCTAGATCTGATCTAACGGCTACAGGGGTGTGTTCAAATGGCTCTTAACCACAGAGGATAACAACTCATGTACAATATGACCAAATACAACTGAAATGAACCCTAATCTATGTCGTTTTTCCTCTCTCGCCTCGCCTTGGACTTCGACTTCGACTGGGCTGCTCGATTCGACTTCGACTTCGCAGGTATGCTTCGCTATCTTCTTCTTCTTCTCCTCCTCTTCTGGTCTTCTAGTCGTCTGGTCGACCTCTTCTAGTCTTCGACTGGGCTGTTTTTTTTTTTTTTTTTTTTTTTTTTTTTTTTTTTTTTTTTTTTTTTTGCTTCGACCTCTTCTGGTCTTCTGATCTCACTCTCTCTCCCCTTCTTCTTCTTCTTCGTCTTATGGCTTCGACTTCGACTCTGTTTTATTTTTATTTTTTTCAATTATGCCTTTGAGTCTCTATTAGGAAATAAATAAATAAATAAATACAAATACAAATACAAATACAAAATAAAAAATAAATAAATACAAATACAAAATAAGGTGTTACTGGTCTAATTAATTAGGACAAAATAAGGTGCTACTGGTTTGAGTCTCTGATTCTGATTAATTAACTAAAAAAAAATATACTGAAAAAAATTTATAAATAATTAATTATTCACAAATAATTAATTAATACAATGCTACTGGTCTTTTTTTTCCCTTTATCTGTTAGGGGAAAAAAAATAAATTCTAATTCTGATTAATTAACTAAAAAAAATACACTGAAAAAAAAATACAAATAATTAATTATTTACAAATAATTAATTAATATAATGTGCTGCTGGTCTTTTTTTTTTTTCCCTTTATCTGTTAGGGGAAAAAAAATGGATTCTGATTCTGATTAATTAACTAAAAAAAATACACTGAAAAAAAATTACAAATAATTAATTATTCACAAATAATTAATTAATTAATACAATGTGCTATTGGTCTTTTTTTTTCCTTTATCTGTTAGGCAAAAAAATTTACAAATAATTAATTCATCACACATTACATCACACTGAAATGATTTTCCATTTATTAAATTTGTCGTGTAGATTGTAGAAAATGACATCGGAAAGTAATAGAAAAGATCCAGCGTGGCAATATGCCCATTTGGTAGAGGAGAATAATTTAAACAAGTTTGAGTGTAATTTTTGTGGTAAAGTATCAAATGGAGGTGTTTATCAGGTGAAACAACACCTCATGGGAGGTTATAGGAATGTCACTGCTTGCCCGAAGTGTCCAGCTCATGTAAGAGGAGATTAGAGAGTTCATGTTAAAAAAGAAGACACAAAAAGAACAAATGAACATGTTGCTTAATTTCGATGACATGGGCATGGAAGATGAAGATGAAGATAATGATGTTGTTGAGATCAATGTCAATCAACGCCGTAAGTTGACAAGTAGCAGCCAAGGTTCATCCAAATCCAAATAAAAAATGCCAAAGAAAAAAGGGCCTATAGATGTTTACTTCACACCCAATCCTGAATCAGTAGTGAAAAATCGAAGAGACCAAGCAAAATAGAAGCAAACCAAAATTGATGCAAATGACCCTTACAAAAAAGAAATGAGAGCTCGGGCAGTGCAAAGATTTGCAAGGTGGATGTATGATGTTGGTATCCCTTTTAATTCAGTAAATTATGAGAGTTTTGGACCAATGATTGAAGCCATTAGGCAATATGGTCCTGGTATGAAGCCACCAACTTACCATGAAGTGCGGGTTACCCAACTCAAAAAAGAAGTGAAACATACTGAAGATTTGATGAAGAATGATAAAGAGGATTGTGCAAAATAGGGCTGGACTGATAAAAGAAGAAGGACATTGATTAACTTTTTAGTTAATTGTCCAAGAGGAACCATGTTTGTTGAGTCGGTTGATGCTTCTAGCTATTCAAAGGATGGGCAAAAGCTATTTGAATTACTAGACAAGTTTGTGGAGAAAGTTGGAAAAGAGAATGTGGTGCCAGTTATTACTGATAGTGCTGCAGGTAATGTGTTGGTGGGTAAGAATATTTCCTTACATCAAAATTGTTTACTCATAGTTTGTTTTATATTTAAAATTTAAAAACTTGAAAATAATAATTCTTCGTTATTGTTACATTATAGGGAGGTTTTTGGAAGCCAAGTATGAACACTTGTATTGGACACCATGTGCTGCTCATTGCTTGGACTTGATGTTAGAAGACATTTTCAAGATACCTAGACTGAAAAAGGCATTTGAAAGGGGTATTGTAGTACATGGCTACATTTACAACCGACCACCGTTGCTAAACATGATGAGGCGCTATACAAATTGGAAGAATTTGATCAAGCCTGCAAAAACTATATTTGCAACCACTTTTCTGACTTTGTCTAGGATGCATCAACAAAAAAACAATTTGAGAAAGATGGTCACCTTCGAAGACTGGACCTCATGCAAATGGGCAAAGGAGCCACAAGGTAAAAGAATGGCACAAACTTTGTTGATGCCTTCATTTTGGAATACTGTTGTATTTGCCCTAAGGTCTCGGGTCCTCTCATCAAAGTGCTTCGATTGGTTGATACCGAGAAGAAACCTCCCATGGGATACATTTATGAGGCAATGGATAGGGCAAAAGAATGCATTGCAAGTTCATTTGATCATAAAGAAGAGAAGTATAATGAAATCTTCGAAATCATCGACAAAAGATGGAATGTCCAATTGCATCGGCCTTTACTTGCAGCTGCGCACTTTTTTAACCCAGAATTCTTTTACCCAAAAGCATTAGAGGTGCAAAAAGATCATGAAGTGATGAATGGGTTTTATGAATGCATGCTAAGGTTGGTCCTGGATGTCACTGTTCAAGATTTGATCACTAATGAGATGAGTATTTATATGAAGGCTGAGAGTCTTTTTGGCAAGTCTGTTGCGATTAGGCAAAGAAATACAAAGGCACCAGGTAATATATTATAGACTCATAGAGTTTATTTTTAGTAATACTTTTAGTAAAACTCAATACTTGATAATAATTATTTCTAACCAGTGATTATCACAGTTGATTGGTGGGCATCATATGGTTCTAAAACTCCAAACTTGCAAACTTTTGCCATAAAAGTCCTTAACCTAACATGTAGTTCATTGGGTTGTGAACGAAATTGGAGTGTATTTGAACATGTGAGTATTTAATATTCTAACTAATTTTTTGTTCAATTCAAATATTTTTTATTCTCATTATATAGAATTTAATATTTTTTTAATACTTGCAGCTTCATAGCAAGAAAAGAAATAGATTGGAACAACAACGTCTCAATGATTTACTGTTTGTCAAATATAATAGAACATTGAGATTTAGGTATGACATGCGCAATACTCTTGATCCCATATCTTTGCAAAATATTGATGAAAGCAATGAGTGGTTGCTTGGGAGGATGGATGGAGAATCAGATGAAGATAATGAGCCTGTGTTTGATGATGATGATGATGATGGCTTGACGTGGGCCACTGTTGCTAGAGCTTCTGGAGTAGAATAACATAGCCATGCAAGTAGAGCAACAAGTTCACGCTCAAAGGCACAACCGAGGATATCTAAATCATCAAGATTAACTCCACTTCAATTAATAGATGAAGAGGAAGCGGGCTCAGATGACACAAAGGAGGAAGATGTTGAGGGATATAAATCAACTGATGGAGAAGAAGATGATAGTTTGCTTGCCATTGATGTTGAGGATGATGATTGACTAGCCGACGACCGAAGTTCTAACATTTTTCTTTTGATATTGATGTTTTGAAATATTAAGATATATATTAGTATTTGTTGGATATTTATGTTTTGAATGTTTAGTGTTTTTGTTTTTGTTTTTGTTTTTGTTTTTATTTTATTGAATGTGAATTATTTTATCTTTGAAAATTGAAATGTTATGTAATATGCACTTTCATGGCTTTGAGAATTATTTTATATTTTGTCTTAAATCTTGATTACTTTTTATTTTTAAAAAAATTGTCCTAGTACTATAAATGATTAGTCTATGTTAATTTTTTTTATTTTTTACTAAGACTCTTCGTCTTCCTTCAATAAAGCCCGCGCCTCGCCTTGCGCCTAGGCCCCGAGAGACCTTTAGCACCTTAGTGCGGCTTGAGCCTTTAAAAACACTGAGACAGATTATTTGGTTTTATTCACTCAATCAATTTAATACTCAACAACAATAACATCTTGGTAAGTAACAAAGAAACAATATTTTAGCAATTGAGACAATACAAGTCCGAGGCAAATTTGAAAGACTACATAAGCATAATCATATATGTAAAGGAAGTTTTTGAGTCTCACAAATAAACCAAACATCAGATATACCCAATATGCATAGTTACCCAATGGAGAATCTACTCTACACATGCCCAATCTAGGAGCTGAAATCAAGTACCCACACAGCTCAAAACACTTCAGCAGATGCACTACTGGTGGGAATCCTCAGGCGTTTCTCCACATGTTCTGATGGAAACCAGCCTGCTTTACCTCTGCATTCTCCTTCTGACCATCCTGATAGGCTCACCTGCGCAGACACATGAAGTCATTCAAATCCATTCAATATCCTTATGCAAAGAACACTAGATTTCAAATAAAGGATATGTTTCAAACTACGGAAAAGATGATTTTGAGATATGATTTAGAAAGCATTTCTACTGATTGCATGTTCTGCAACTACCGTAATCAAACCCAATGTACAATACATAAAGTTCTTCAGCACAATTACTGAATAATCAAAGTTATGTTGCTTGTATTCTGTGGATAATTCAACTCATAAAATTGTCCAGATTTTTGTGAATAATGTCATAGTAGGGAAGTCTGAGAAATTTCAAGAGAACCCAAATGATGAATTATTCTTGAATGCATTAAATTGTCGTAAGGAAAAGTAAAAACATGTTACTGAGAACTAGAAAAACTTTTTTCCAAGAAGTTTATTTCTCATAGTCCATAGGATTGTCAAGCATTGGTTTGAATAACTCTGGGGGAAATGAAAGCTACCAACAAAAGAATTAAATAAATAAATTTTCATTTTCCAAAACCTCAAATTTTCATTAAAAAATTAGTTTGGAAACAATTTCCACAGCAAAACAATAGGAAAGTTATATTCCTTCAATTTTGACCTATAACCTGTGTTTGGATCTTGGACTTGTAAATGGATTTGTGAAGGAAAAAGACAAGGCATGGGAAAAAAGTGAATGAAATAGATGCTAATTTATCTTCACAAATCCCTTCACAAATCCAAGATCCAAACACAACCATAACAAAATTACTTTGTGATAAAAGACCGTGCAGCTGAAAAGAGCCGCAAATTTAAAAACAAAAACAAAACAAAACAAAACAAACAAACAAAGATCGATTCTAGGATATGAGAGAACCTTCCGTACAACAACATAATCACCAACTGCCAAACTCAGTTCCTTCTCGGATGCAGCATCAAAAGCATGCATTGCCTGCATAATGTGCACATAAATCTTCAGTCAATTATTAAGTATTTGCCTTAAGGCATGCTGGGAAGACATTTTAAGGAATTATGGATTACAACAGTTGTTAATAACATTGACCTCCTTCGCAAATCAACTAGTTAATACATAGTATGTGAATTAATAATATCAACAGAAACTACCCTTTCAACCTCAAAAGGACCTTAAAACATGTCTAAGTTCATTTCAAAAAATTAATTAAAAGATCACATGTAAAAGTTTTATTTTAAAAAATAAATAAATAAAGGGGCATTTACTAGTAAATCCCATTTAGGAGCCTTATGTTCCATATAATCCAATTAAAATTCTTGAAACCCATCTAGTCCTGTGTGATTGAAAATGACACAATTGCCACCAATTATATAGATGGTAACGAGTAAACGTGAATATTCTTACTTAAACCTAACATGAAAAATTGAAAATATTAGTTGGGATATTAAATAAGAGATTCACCGTGATTGGGGCGTTAAAACAGGAAAAAATAATCCATTTGAAAATCATACCTAACTAGAAGAACAAACTGTTGATTTCCATTATTTTTTGGAATCCAACATCTACATATGTAACTAGCGTAATACCCGTGCTATGCACGGTTTCAAATAAATAATTAATAATTAATTTCAAAATTATACAGTAAAGAAAATAGAATTAATTAAATTTTAACCATTTTTATCACAATTTCACTTCTTTTTTTTTCTACCATTAATGCTATGTTTTAAGTTCTAAATAACAAATAGATGAATCATAATGTAATTAGTAAAAATTAAATAAAAATTATTAAATTACAAAATTGCACTTTTTTATTTTTATTTTTAGGAACAAAAACTACACCTATGATAAAATATAAATACGTTATTATTTTCTAAGGTTTCATAATTTTAGTTTGCCATATATTAAATTCATATTATGATAACATAAATTATATTCGTATATATATATAATAATAGTAACTCTATTTTTTTTTTCCTTTTTTTTTTCTTTTTTTTTTTTTGAAACTCAATCTAGCAAAATTTGTTTAAATCAAAAAATTGAATAACAAAATGAAAATGACAAACAATGAACTACCAGTGACCCCTATGCTCTTGTTCGTCCTGAAATCAGCATTAATTACCAAGTACAACTTCTCGATTTTCTCACACTCGCGAGCTTTGGCAGCTCACATTGGACCATTTTCTTGTCCCCCTCCCTCACCCACCTCGCGACTTTCACGACCTCAATCATCCAACCTTTCTCCAACTAGGCATCTTAAGTTCTCTTTGTTAGTTGCCCATGCCTTGTGACTACCATTTTGCTAAACCCCTAAACTCACTAATATTTGTATATAAAATATTGAATTTGGATAATCTACATTTTTTTATATATTTTTAAATTGAGTAATGTTAGAATTATCATATTTGGATATTATATAATGTGACATCTTACATGGCACTAATTACATCATTTGATACACTCCACATGATATATATGAAGTGTCATCTAAGGCATGATATCAAATGTAGTCAACAATAAATTATTAAAATTTTATTTTGAACATTCTTTTTAAAGATTCCAAATATAAATAACTAAAATTTAATCAACAAAAGGTATATTACCATGTATAGATTCTTTCTAGAATATTTTTCTTATGAAAATTTTATTTATGTCATAGAATATTTATACGAAAAATAACTTTTTTTTCTCATGTTCTTCTTAAACTTTAAATTTGAACTCCCAATCCATCAACTATTACTTAAATTAGATTCGACTTGCATATAAACTTTTCATCTAATTTTTTTTTTAAAATTTTAAATCAGATATGTTTGGATGGGTTAATAATTTTATATGGCATGTATTTATTAATTTTTATAAATTGAAATTAATATTTTGAAGCTCTTAAAACATTTTGGACAAAAAGTTATTTTGCGTTAATATATAGATAATAATAGATTTGGAAAAAATTATCACTCACAAATAATAATTATAGTTTAATTTATCGATAAATAATAAAGTGATAATTTCAAAACATGTATGCTTTCTATTATAGAAATTCCAGCCAGCTTATTGCTCATTAGAGATTGATGATTATAATTAAAGAAAACTAAAAAAACAAACCATATGGATTAACAAAATATTTAAATTAAATGAAAATAAGATAATAATAAATAAGAAAGAACGATTAATATAACAAAAGAGCCCATAATATTATAATATAATATTTACTAAATTTTATCATTTTATAACATGTGTATTTTCATATTACAAATTTTTAATAAATTATTTTTTAAAAAGCATTATGATTTTAAGGAATATATTACCTTATTGATCAATAAATGATATGACTTTGATATTTTGAAACATAAAAAAGTTTGATTTGATTTCTATGTAAAATGTTTCATAAGAGTTAAGTTACATGTTTAAATATATTACCATATTGATCAAATGACCAATAGTTTATTGACATGTGTATTTTCATAATTTTTTAATTCAAAAATTTATGAAAATAGAGTTAGAACTTTAAGACTCAATGAACCAACAATGTTTTTGCTTATATTATATATTTATATAATATAAATGTTCATACTTTATATGAATAAATGTACAAATATTCACATTTTCAATAAATTAGAATAATATTAATTTTTAGAAAGTGAAATTTTTTTAAAAAGTATGAATATTCAAACTAATTTTTATACTTTTCAAAAATTCATAATATTTTATTAATTGAAAATACGAATATTTACATTTATAATTTTCACACCTAAAAATTCACACTATTATAATTGTAGAAAAAATTGACACTTTCAAATTCCAAAAAAAAAAAAAAAGAAGTAAAATTTTTACTTTTTACATTTTACATAATTTTATATTCAATTGTGATCTTGTTTGATAGATCCTGTCGAGTAGTTTTCAAAAATCAATGTGCATTTTGAAAGTTACAGAATTTAAACTTGAAAAAACAAAATGTTGCCATATAAGCATGTTGACCAAAACAAGGGTGAAGTTATCATGAACACACATCTAATTCAAAAAAATAAATATATATCTCCTAGAATAAAATTTCAAATATATAGGACTTATTGGATCACAAGTAAACAAGTTCCTGAAAAGGGACTTTCCAGTAATTCTACCATAAATAAAATCCTCCCCGAAGCTAGTTGGGAATTGGAAACATATCCTTTAATGGCCAGAAATTCATGAAATTTAGAAAATACCTCAGCCAAGAAGTACTTTGTTTTCTCTAAGCTGTAGGTGGATGGAATTACAGGAGGAGCAGACTCTTTTCGTTGTTTCTCTGAGACCATCTACCACCAAATTCCAGGTCATCCCACAAACATAAATTGTTTTAATGTACAAATATTTCTTTTCTGGAAAAAAGAGAATGTAGGCACACTCACCTCAGCTTCAACCTCACCAAGAATGGTAGCTATTCTTTCATGATATGATTTTTCACCTTCAACCTTCAGAAGAATAAACTTCAAAAGTAAATACAAAACCATATGATTATATGTGACAAATTAGAATAATAATTCCAGAAGTGCAGACATACCAATGAAACAAGCCCCTGGAATGTCAACCTTTGCTGCTGTGATTCTACAGAAGCCAATGCAGTTGCGGCTTCCTTACCCAGTACTGCCATATTTGCTTTCAATTCATGCATTTTAGATTCTGCTGCATGAAGCTTTGCCACATTTTCAGGAATGGAAGCTTCCCTTACTCGAGCATGTCTTCTAGAAACCTCTGCTGCCTGTTTCCTTTTATGGTCAATTAAAACTATAAAAAAATATATTAAGGATCTACTATTATGATTAGGCAATCTGAATTGCAGCCACAAGGAAAAATATTTTCCCGAGATAAATGAAGCCTAGCTGTCTGATTACCTGTGTCTCTGCTTCTTGTCTCATTCGACTATAACGTTGAGCAAGATGACGAGCATCCTCCAAAGGAGCCCCAGTTACCATTGCTCTCAATGGTTCTAAAATCTGGGTATAGAAAATGTTAGGTTCATACTTCTATTTTTAGGATAGTTACAATAAATAGCTCAATTTTGAATATGAAGAAAGTAAACTGGTTGAAAATATGTGGGGTTGATCATTCACCATTTAGATTAACTAGCCTCTTTCAAATTGTTATCAAACAAGATTTCTTTAAATGTGGTGTTTTGCTATTGTGTGCTCTTCTCACTCCAAAATATCAAAAAGCAGAAATTAATTTTAATTAAACAAATCCAAATTTTGACAATTTAAATAAAAGAGTCATGCATATGTGCCTTTATCCAACACAACCACAAGAAGGCCCTTCTAACTTCAAATGCTATAGGTAGAAAAAAAGATGGAGTTCAATATGAAAGAATCACATAATCAAGTAGCTTACATGTTTTATATACAACTAATTAGCATCTCAAAGAAACTCAAAAAGGAATCACAAGATATGTTCATTTCTATTTAGAATTAGCTGATATATTACATTTATGTGATAGAAATACATGACTAACAAGTAGTCATCCCAAAGGAAGCACTACTGATTTGATAGTTGCTAACCATAGAGATGGCACAAACCTGAGAAAATAATTGCCTATTAATGTCTTCTTGCTCCTGTTCCATATGTTTACGGGTATCGCCATATAGAGATGCAGCCTTAGCTAGACTCTTGTCATCAACGTTCTCAACTCCATATCTGAAACAATCCTCAGACAACTTGGTCCCTGATTATCATAATAGTAATAAAGTTCAGTTCAAATACATAATGGACCATTAAATAATGAGTGGTGATATACAAACAGAAAATCCATACAAAATAACTTATATGTATTGACCTGACTGAGATTTGAGGATATCACTTCAGAATAAAGAGCCCATTGAGATGTATTTAATTACACAAATGATACTACCACATCATTCTGGTGAAAATATTTGTATATAAATTATGGTGGAATAGCATTTTCTTTAAATAATAATGTTTTACTATGACACAAATGTTGATAAAGCAACTTGTTTAGTTCATCCATTACAATATCCCCCAGAACAATGTAACCAGTCAGTACTAATTCATGTTTTACCTGCTTCAATATTCTTGTACCCTATGGCCGTAAATGCTTCTGCTGCTTTAATAATATCTTTCTGAAAATCCTGTAGAAATGAGGTCATGAAACAGTAATAACATCAATCTAATAAATTATCTCACATATTTGCATCAAAGAAACAACATGTAGATAAAATGTGTGTTGCTGAGATGAGAATACTAAGATGGATGTGTAGTAAGACTACAAGAGACAGAGTTAGAAATAAGCATATTCATGAATGAGTAAGAGCAGTACCAATAGAAGATAAGTTGAGAAAGAATAGATTGAGATGGTTTTGTCATATACAATGGAGACCAACAAAGACAGTAATGAAGAGTTGCGATACAATAACGGTAGATGGAAGTGTTAAGGAAAGGGCAGACTTAGATTGACGTAGGCTAGTGTAGTAAATAGATATATGAATCTCATTAATTTGACTAACCAAATGGCCATTGATAGAGTCAAGTGGAGAAAAATAATTCATGTAGTCGACCCCATTTGATGGGACTTAAGGCTTGGTTGGTTTGGTTTGGTTTGGTTATTTGCATCAAAAAGAAAAATTAAGGTGCAAAAAAGTTCTAGGGACACAATAAGTAACTGAGGAAACCCCAAGGGTTTGCCTTGGTTGATGAGGGCTGAGACTTAGGGATTGCTCCCTCCAAGGTCTCAGTTTCAACTCACCTCGCCAGCAAAACTCTTGAGGCCACGGACCGTAGGGAATTAACCTGTTTTCAAAAGGCATGTTATCAACCAAAAAAAAATCTGAGGTACCCAGAATTGTTAAACTCAAGACTGGCATTCAATAGCATAGTATTGATTATTTGATTTATTTCCAACATAACTAGTAAATTTATTTATTCAGAAAATTCAGATGCTCAACCCCACTTAAACAAGTATCTCCAAGATATTTTTCTTGAACTTCCCTCATGCACATCGCTAACTTACACGATGAGTGTTTTAGGCACTCTTGGGTATTGCAAAAGAACTTACAGAAGTATGTTACAATTGGTTAATGTAATGAAAGCTAAACATTGAAAAATAAAATGCCTTATATTCTGAAATGCAGGCAAAACATAGGCCCTGCTTAGTATCTATTAGATCACCAATTGTCTCCAAAAGCTTAAGCAATTGGGAAATAGGCCCAACAACGTACACTCCTCGTCACATGTGGAGAGGCAAACAAACTGAGTGAACAAGGTGCACAAAAAACAAGGAAAACAGAGTGCTTAATAACAAAGATAATGGGGATGACGGGACCTGAACTGAAGACTACCTAGAACTAGAGCTTAGATACCATGTTGAATTGTTGACCACCAACTCATCCAAAAGCTTAAGCTATTAGAGACAGAGGGCAACTTTCCTATTTATATACTCAAAAGTATTGGTCAATTTTTTTTTTTCATTTTTAGTGTTTTTTGAAACAAAAACAAGAAAAGTTCTAGTAACAATCATGTATTGGTCAAATGTTGTTGTATAATGAATATTGATAATCGCTACATGTATGACATATTAGTATTGGAGCCCAAACAACCTATGGGACACGTGGCGGGCTTTCCTCACCTCAAGGAGCTAATATTAGCTCTACTGTCGTCTGGAGTGGCGAATCTGATATCTTCGAGGGCAACATATCATGTATGCAAAGGAGTGGGTGTAAGGTCCCTCTCGCGCCTCTCTAAATCTAGTAAAGGTGGAGCTATCTTGGCAACCAAGCAATATCTTGACGGTCCTGTGGTCTTTGCCTCCAGTCCACAGTCCTTTGATGTCCCAAGTGGGGATGCCTAGGCCCTGCTCCCATCCTAGGCAGCCAAGTGGTTGGTAGAATAAGTAAGCATTAAGGCAAGGCCCCGCCTTAGGCTACCAGGCAAGTGTATATGGGCCAAAGGGCCGAGCAAGCGCGAGCTAGAGGCTCAACTTTAGGCCACCAAGAGAATATAGGTGGACCAAGAACCCAAATTGGGCTAGTAGGTGAACCTAGGGCCTTAGTAAGCGGTAGGCAGGTTGACGGCCACTTATTAGAGTTCTTCATTCTTGCTGATGTGCATGCCTCCACTTAGGCTGGGCATATAATCTCAATTGACCATGGTGCCTTAGAGGTTTGCCACGTAGGCGTGTGATGGCAATGATGTTGCACCTAAAGGACTTGCCACATGTCGAGTGTGGTATAGACACTCACATTAATGCCCCCTTGTACAAGTGCTCTTAACAGCAATGAGTGTATTTGTACACAAGTGATGCTAAAAATATTAACACATGATCAGTTTAAACAAGGCGCTAAATTTTCATTCAATATTTTTATACAAGACCTTAACTGAGAAGATAGGACATACAAATGCTCATATAGAGCTTTAGCCCTTAGTTTTCGTCCAACCTCAAAGTTACCTGAATAAAGATGTGAACTTTTTGGGAGGCAGTCTCTTGCGCTGGGAGTTCCACAATCTCATAGGAGATTTTCGTGTCATTCCATAAGACCACATACCTCCTCTCATCCTTTCTAATCCATTGTTGAGCGGTTCTATGGTTTGCGTATTCCGATACCCTAGAATTTTGCTCATGAATTCAACTTGACTTCCTTGTTTCTTCTATCTCTTGCTCCTCCATTTTCTCTCTTTATCTTCTCTCTTCTCTCTTCTCTGTTCTCTCTATCCCTCTTCCCCCATTTTTAGCTTTTTTTTTGTGTGTTTTTTCAGAAGAAACAGTTTGGAACCGTTACGTAACGGTGCTGTAACAGTTGTAACGGCCTGTTGCGCACCGTTACGACCGCTACGGCAGCCGCTGCGGCCGACACACCTGTGAATCTCAATCACACTGCAAAAGCGGCCGTAACGGGTGGCGGTAACCGCCAAAACCGTTACGTAACGGCGTTACGCCGTTACGTAACGGTTGCGGCCGCTTTTTAAAACCTTGGCTACCAGGCAAGTGTATATGGGCCAAAGGGCCGAGCAAGCGCGAGCTAGAGGCTCAACTTTAGGCCGCCAAGAGAATATAGGTGGGCCAAGAACCCAAATTGGGCTAGTAGGTGAACCTAGGGCCTTAGTAAGCGGTAGGCAGGTTGATGGCCACTTATTAGAGTTCTTCATTCTTGCTGATGTGCATGCCTCCACTTAGGCTGGGCATATAATCTCAATTGACCATAGTGCCTTAGAGGTTTGCCACGTAGGCGTGTGATGGCAATGATGTTGCACCTAAAGGACTTGCCACATGTCGAGTGTGGTATAGACACTCACATTAATACCCCCTTGTACAAGTGCTCTTAACAGCAATGAGTGTATTTGTACACAAGTGATGCTAAAAATATTAACATATGATCAGTTTAAACAAGGTGCTAAATTTTCATTCAATATTTTTATACAAGACCTTAACTAAGAAGATGGGACATACAAATGCTCATATAGAGCTTTAGCCTTTAGTTTTCGTCCAACCTCAAAGTTACCTGAATAAAGATATGAACTTTTTGGGAGGCAGTCTCTTGCGCTGGGAGTTCCACAATCTCATAGGAGATTTCCGTGCCATTCTATAAGACCACATACCTCCTCTCATCCTTTCTAATCCATTGTTGAGCGGTCCTATGGTTTGCGTATTCCGATACCCTAGAATTTTGCTCATGAATTCAACTTGACTTCCTTGTTTCTGTAATAATGCCTAATTAGTGGTGCGCAATTGCGTTGAGGTGCATATAATGGTGAAGAAAGCTAGGGTGAGTGACTCTTTCGCTATTGAATAGCAATAATTTCAAAGGGGGTGTTGCAAGGGTTGTAGAAGGTGCTCCTTTCCTTGAGGTTGAGATAGCCGAATTCTTCTAAGGTCCATTCTGGTCCTAAGCTTGTGTTCGACTGTACCATTGGTGCCGGTATAATTGAAATGTGATGATCCAAGTGTCTCAGTCATGGTGTTTGTGAGATAATGTTAACATGTATTTGCTCCAAGTTTAGTGGGGTTATCATCTGCACAGCTTGACAACTGGTCCCTCTTACAGTGGAAGTGATTGTACAAGCCACGAGGTGGTGGAGAGGTTGCTACATTGCGAGCCAGAGCTAGGTGTCTAGAGAGCTTGCTATGTTGAGAGCCAAAGCAAAGGGGGCTGGAGAAGCGAAATTTTCACAAGCTTAAAAGTAAATCATGTTGCTCTTCAAAGTGGTTTCCGAAAAAGGGGTACGAACTACTCTCTATAGTGCTCTCCAAAGTGGGTCAAGCAAGATCAATATTGCTTAGTTTTACTTTGTGAGCTAGCAATAGAGTTGCCAGCCAAGCAAGGTTTGGAAAGGGTTTCTTCAAAATTTACGAGTGCGAATCGGCAAGGGGAGGGAGAGTAGCTAGCAAGGTGAAGCGACAAGATCAATTTGCGAACCTAATTCAAACAAATTTATTCTTGACTAAGTCGGATGCAACCTATATTACTTGGAGCGTGACTTGAAGGCGAGCGAGGGGTTAGAGCGAGCTATTCAAGCAAAGTGGTTTGCAAGCCGGGTTGGATAGTTGTGAGCTTTGCCCAATGTTTGGCTATGCTTCAAAATTTATTCTAATAAGTTTTCCTACTTCCTTCTTGTTCTACTCTTTTACTAATTGCGTCATTTAGTGATTAAATCTGTGCCCCCAATTTTTGCTTACTTGTGCGACATAAGACAGATTGAACCCGGTGTTGTTGTCAAAAGCCAGTTAGGAGCAAGTTAGAGCATGGAGGGCTAGTTTAGCCATTTGAGCAGTTGGGTAAATTCCTTCACTTTGAATTTTGTTTATGGTTGAGGTGCTCTCCACCAAGAACTTACTTTTATCTTGCTGAATGACACAGTGAGTTCGAGTGCGAAGTTGTGCTTGGACAGCAAAGGACGAGTGATTTTTTCCACGTGGGTCTTTCCCTTTGAGCTTCGAAGCTTGGTATGTTTTCTTGTTAGTAAGGCAGGCTTAAAATTGTAAGTTGTACCTTTTCGTTTGTAATGTGCAGCTCTTCTTTTTGTTTGCAGGTGGGCACTACACTTACCTTTGGATCAACACTCACTTTTTCTCATTCGTCTTTGTTGTTGAGTGTGTTGCGCCAGTTTTAGGTAAGATGTCCATCTTATTTCAACTTATATTGAACGTATTTTGCTTTATGAACGCGAATTTTGATTTTTGGTTTTTGGGTTCATGCAGGCCATGCCATTTGGAGATGGCAAAGGTAAAGGGGGGAGGTGTTGTCCCTCGCCCTAGCACATCTCAGCAACTACCAATAGATTCATCTATTACTTTCCGATCAAAGGGAGACAAGACCAAAAACGTCCTTATAAAGCTAAAAAAGACGCAACGGCCCCACTCAATTTTCTAACCTCAGGCTATTGGTGAAGGCAGAGTTGTTTTGGCTCTTCAAGCTTGTTTTGGAAAAGGGCAGAGTTGCTTAATGAGGATGGAGAGAGCCCTTCTGAAATTCTTCTTGGTTGAGTCAAACCCGAGGGATTGGTAGAAGCTTTTATTCCTCTTGCGTCCATTGTGCATTTTCATGTGGAGCGGGGCAACTATCCTTACTCTTTTCATGCTTTTGAGGATTATACAAGGGTTAAGGATGACTTCAGCATTTGGAGTGTGGCCATGTTTCACCATCCCTCGTACTACGAGGTGTTGACCGAATCTAAGATTGATACTGCAATTTGTCAATGTATACGGGTCAAGTGGGATCCATCTTGTTTGGAGGATGTGACTATTTCGACTAGTTTAGAACACCTCGGCGTGGTGAACCTCAGTGCTAGTAGTTTGTCCCTTAGTCAAAAGGCTATAGTTGCCAAATTGGAGATCTCTATATGGACCCAGCAGGGCGGATGCTGAGTCAATACCAAAACAAAGTATTGATTGAACCGCCGTTGCGGGGGTGACAATAAAGAACACTTTTGGGGGTTGGTCGCATTACTGGTTCCGAGATCATAGCCAACAAGTAAAAGGTGATCCAGAGAATGGAGTAATGGATCCTGGTATGGAGGGAGAAAAGTGGGGGAGTACTAAGCACTTAGCCACTTTTATTGCATATTGGTTGTCACATTATATCATGATTGGTAAACCCCAAGATGGTATATGTTATGAGTTGTTCCTGTTTGTTGCCATTCTTGCCTCCGGACGTCCGATCCTGTTGGCCCCTTTATTTCTGGGGGTTTATATAGGCGGTCGGATACATTCTAAGAGGGAGCCTATTGTTCTAAAGGGCAGTATGATGTTATTAGCTATCTTCAAACGTTATCTCTACAACTAGTTTTGTGTGAACAGTTTCCTAGCCTAGCTCCTATGACAAGGTCATTCTCTATTGGATACAGTAAGCCTCGTTCAATCCGATGGACTAAAGGGACTATTCGTGGGATTTAATCAGCATTTTTGACTTTGAGAATAAATTCATTGCCCATCCTTATATTAGGCCAATTTGTGGGGTTGCCTCGACTACTGAATATTGCTTGAGATGATTGTGAGCTTATTCTTGAGCTAGGCGTACCTTTCTTGGGGAATGCAAATTCTGTGATGATTCTCAATGCCATTCTTGGGTATTATTTTATTTTTTTATTATTATTATTATTTATTTATTTATTTATTTATTTATTTATTTTTATTTTTGATAAATACCATTCCTAGGTATTTACTTTTCTTTATAGATTGCAGTTATGACATGGCGGCAATAATCCTTTAAAGGTCGCAAGGAAATTTGGCTTGGACCAAGGCATCCCTTAGCTTCCTTCCCCTTCTTTTGCAACTAACTGTATGCAACTATTTATGTATGCTTTCCTTCTTGAAGAATTAAGGAGTGATGGTTGAATTGTATTAGCGGGCAAAGATAGGAACTACCGTGAACTAGAAGTATTGAAAACACAACCTTCCGGCTTTTTGGATTTTTTTGAGTGGCAATCTTGAGCCAGTGCATCTAGAGCTTGTTTTGTCCAACGATAGTGAGTTGTGTATGCCTCACAAGGAGAGGGGCTCATCAGTTGCCAATCAGGGTGAGCTCAACCCACTGGCTCGGTTGGATAAGGTAGCAGCTATGTTAGACCAAGTTCAATTGTTCCATTCTGACATTGTCCCCTATGCCAAACATAAAAGGCCACCCCTTTGCTTTTGTTGCTGTTCTTGTTGCTATGAGAGTGCCTTCAAAGTCAAGAGGCCTGAATTCATGTATCGCTACCAGGGTCACTTGCAAAATAAGGAGTTGCCCTAGCAGCTTGGTCAATTCTTTCCAACTAACCAAGGTAAACTCGTGCTCGTACTCAAATTGTGTAACACATTTTTAATTTGGTTTTAGTGTTTTGAATATGTTTGCATTAAAACGCCTCAGTTGTTTGTAGGGGGCAAAGGATGTTCGTTGGATAAAATTAGTGCAACAGAAGGCCTCATTGACTGATGGTTCTCAAGATGGTGGTCATTCAATTCCTTCAGATCCTCTAGAAGGGATTGTGACCTTCTTGGTGACACTACCACGGATTTGGCGGTGGAATGGCTACCTGGCATTGGTGATTTTCCTCCAGCAAACCCTTCCTCTAGGATAGGGAAGAGTAAGGCAGGCTTTGATGCCTATAGATGGCTGGAAAGCATTGAAGATGATGCAAAGGGTTCTGAGGATGATAAGGCAAGCTTGGATAAGAATACTGAAATTATGAGGGGATGATGCTGAAGTCGATCTTGGCTGTGGTATGATAGGTACCAGACCTTCTTCCCAAAATGTGCCAAGTTCTAGGAATGCATTGATACCTTGAGAGCCAAGACTGGTCATGGTAATAGGTTTGAGCGAGGCGTTTCTGGCCTTGTTCAACCCGAGCTAGTTGGAGGTGAATACAACTTTGTCATCGGAAAATATTCAAAAATGTCAATGATAAAGTTGGTGAAGTGCCCGCCATATTCCCATAGGTCAGCCCGAGCAAGACGGCAAGCACTTCACCAACTTTATCTTCCCGAAGGTCAACAATAGACCACCTCTAACCTCTACCACCTACACCATGCCTGGATAAGAATAAAAAAAAATTCCTCATTCCAATCTATAGTGATTTGCAATCCAAACTCATTCAATTCAAAACCAAAAATTATATAACTTTAGATGCCATATGTACAGCCCATTTAGTTTCCGTTGATGGGGTCTGGGAAGGATAGATAAGTTACAGACCTAAGTTCTAACATTTGGAATTATTTGTACAAAGTGGTTGACTTCAGTTTAACCATTACCTCAAGGTTGATAGTCTAATTTTAACCGTTGAACTAGTTGAAACATCTTACCTTTCCTGCACGAGTAGACCTGTAAAATTTCTCTAACTGTTGATGTCTTTGCATTTCAACCTCATCAATGACCATCACATCAGAACTTTCATAACTGGTCCCACTAAACTGCTTTATTACAGCCTGAAATACATATATTTACATCACCAATTTAGAGATAATAAATCATTCAAAATAATAAAAGGAGAAATATCTATTGAGGCAAATACAGGTTCGATTTCTAAAATGTTTCTTATAGTAGAATTCTTTGTAACATCAAAGACACAATAAGCTATAGTTGTATAATTTCCTTTTTGCTACAAGTGACCAATCCCACATCTCCTCCCTTCCTCTCCTCCCCACTCATCACTTTATCTTGTTAGAATATGCTCCTCCCAATCCACATCCATTGTTTTCTCACTAGAATCACTCGCACCCAGTCGCAAAACTTAAATAAGTTTGAGTTCATCATACCAACATATCCACCAACATTCACGCACACAACGCCCTAAGTTTCTAGATCTTGATCAAGAAATACAAATTTTTTACCTAAACTCGTGCATATGGAGAAACCATTCCCCTCTCTATTAGCATTTCTTCATATCCATTAGTGGTTACTCTATGTTGTTTAATTTACACAGATTCAAAGTAAGTATTAAAGTCATCATAAATAGTGTGTAATTCACTATCCAATGGATAAATCCCCATTTGGAATATAACTCCCATCCCCTACCGCCATGCACATCCTAACAAATGATCACACCATATCCAGGATTAATAATCCTAAACCAAAATGTTAAAACAAACATAGATTGGCTCACAAATTAATTAATTACCAAGCCCATGCCTATATCCCACCCAATACCAAACATCCCTGACTTACACACTGCAAGTATCCAAAACAATGACTTAAGGCGATCAATATTTCCCCAGCACATCAAATTATGCGGAGAATAATGCTAAAAAAGAACTCAATTACGTTCAGAAAACAGGAAATCACGTAAAGTCACAACAACATCACTTCATCACATCAAGGAGACAACCAAATCCGCAATTTCCCAACAATCATTATCCCTCCACTCTAACCACCGTTGAGATACATCTTTAAATAAAAGTCAATGGTCAGATGGTTTCTCACTATCAAAAAAAGTCTAAAATAGATAGATAACTACTGAAATTTTTCGATGCGATTAGTGTATCTAAAAAATACATAAAGAAAAGCGATAACAAAGAGAATATAAAAAATAAACAGTGTAGCTCCAAACTCATTCAGCAAAAATACTTCAAATTCTCCAATAATATACAAAAAGCAATGATTGGGAGATCAGCTTAGCACACGTATACAAACCATAAACTAATATATTTGCACCATAATAGATGGCATGTCGAAGTAAGACTCTGCTGCTTCATGATCTTACAAGTAGGATTGCAATAAATTAGCTGCCTAATATTCAGTTCTTACATAATCCACGTCAACACTCAATCACACACAACCATAAATCACCAGATCCATCAACCAAATACCATCCACCCCACCCACACCAGATTCATTACACCAATAACATTTTACTACTAGCACATTCTAAAAAACAAGACTAGCATTCATTTAACATTTCTGGGGAGAAAAGCAAGAGACTAATATAAAATAAACCAAACTCTGACACCATTTTACACAACTCGCACTTCCCACTTGGCAACCGTACCTCAATAGTGAAATATTAATCCTATCGCAAATTTTAACTTTCTTTGCTCTTGACTGCATTTTCTTTCAGCTACCAAACTACAGCCAAGCGATTGTCGACAACAATTATGATTGTCAACTATATCTCTGTCCGCTAGGTTAATTCAGGCGATCTCTGTCCTCATGACTTTAGTCCGCTTGCTTATCTCAACATGAACACTCCATTGCGGCATCAATCCATATCGATATGTTCGAGACTTGCTCAGACGCTAAACGTATTGTGTTGTGAGTGATAAAACAACAGCTGAATATTCGAAGACTCGATTTCGCGACGTAATAGCTAATAATCATACGGTCAAATATAACAACACTCATGACAACATGAGAAAGATCAGATCAGACAACATAGTAGACTAAAGACAATACAAGTTAGCCCTACGAGTCCTCAGACATCCTATTCAAAAATCCTGTTGTTATCGATTTGCCATCGCTAAATTAATCATACATAATAAATACATAAGAATGAACAGCACTGGGAGATTTACAAGAAATGTCTCCTAAAAAAAAACGTAAGATAAATCGATACTCGTTCCTTTCATAACTCTTTTCGACAATAATCATTATCAATATAATTACAAATATTCCGCAAAAAAGTGCTCCATATATAATTTTAGCATTTTACTCAAAACCATCCAGATCAACCATAATCGTTATATAATTATATCGATATATATATCTATATCTAAGAATCGTCAAAAATGCTCATAAAAATAAATATTCTACAAAATGAATGGATAAACAACTACTATCATCATTACTAACTTTTAGTGACACATCAATAAGATTTCCGAGTACAAATTTACAAAAAAGATTCCATAAAATACTCATAGTAATTATGGGCTCATGATAACACATACACAGACAACTAACTACATCAATGTCACAACAATCAAGTTAAAACAATGATAACTTCATATTATAAACAAATTTGACTCATATAAGGAACGAATGACCAACAGTTAGGACACTATCATATTCTCCGAGTGAAAATTTGACTACAAAAATTGAATTTTTATAAATTATCACAAATTTAATCATTTACCCAGACGAATTAAGAAATTAATCCGTCATGAATGTATAAGAATTTATTATCAAATTTTAATAATTATAAAATTGTGTAGTTTTTATTCTATAAAGAAATTAGGTAAAAAAGATTTGTATAAGAAAATCTTTGAGAATTATAGTCAAAAAATCTTTGTAGCATTAAATTAACCAAGTACTTATTTTCTCATATTGTGTCCGTCAGACTATCACAGCCAATAACATTACGGTAACAATGACTATTATAGATGGCTAGACAGAGTATAACAATACAGACGACTACTCTATCATTATGCTGAGTAAATAATTTACATCCACGAGCGATCTTATTTGCATATATCATCTAATCGGATTAGTGCAACTGTAAGAACTCAGTAAGACACTCAAATCAACAATTGTGTGAGTTGCGTAAAATCCCATGATAGAGGATGAAGGAAAAACATTGCATTGTTAAGTGAATCATAGAGATAATAATATTTATGTAACCTTCATATCTCATCACCTCACTAATGCACACAGAATCAAATAAGTCACATCACATACCCTCTAAATAGAAATTATTGAATAACCTAATATTTTCTTTCGTGATTCATTCTTTCCAAAATTTTCCTTGGAGAGCATATACTACATATTGTTGTGTAGTAATGGGCCTATAAAATGTGTGCCAACACGCCTGTAATAATGATATAACATAATAATTACTACTGCTCATATGTACAGTAGTATTACGTCTTCTCTAAAATGAATATTTATCCAAAAAACAATAAAACTACTGATCTCATCTAATACTTAAATCTTTGAATTTTGTTCATGTATCATCATTTACCAAATCAACTACATCTCTTAAAATAATTAAAGCTTCGAATACTAAAACAACATTCTCAGAAAATATCCCATCTCCAAATAAATTCTACTATGACACTAAATAGTTATCATGTTAAATATTTTTTAATATATATAGTGACTTGGACTACACTGATATAATAGAAACATACTCACTATATTAACTAGAAACTATGCAGGAGACTCGTTAAACATGAATATCAATATCTCAAAAGAAGATCCTGTACACTCTCAGAGTCACATCTGAGGTAGCAGACTTCGTGTTAAGTCTGTTTTCACGTATTGTGCATGTCCCTATATCCTTGAAAAAGGGAAGGAGAACCAGTGAAACCAGTGAACCATTGAGGAAACCAGTGAACAGGCATTCATAGCTTCTCCAAGTTCATTGAGAGAGGAAACCAAAAGGGCTTTTGCAGTCTACCGAGGAAAAACATCATTGCGCTTAGTCATGAGTTACCTTCTAAAATCAGCAAATGAAGGTTACATGGGCAGATGATACAGAGTTCGAATGAAAATGTGAGTTAATTTTGTTTTCCCAGCCATATCATCCTAGATAAGCAGAAAGGCCCGAAGTGAGTTATTTGTTTCGTAAAATTCTTAGCTACCTTGAAATAATCAATTTTATTTCGGCTAAGTTGATGTTCTCGAACAAAGTATAAATTCGAATTGTGTCCGAACAATTGTATTTAAATTCGGAAGTTGTGCCCCGAACAAAGCATACAACTCTCAACAACAATTCAAAACTCCGCGATTCTTTCAAAAAAACACATTCGATACAAACTACTTTCGAATGACAGTATTTTTCTTTTTCCATCTTCATATTCCAACACTCTTGCTATTAATCTTATCATACCAAATTCCAGCATTTTTCCTAAATTGCAATAGTATTAGGTATATCTATTAAGCCATTATAAAATTGTAAAGTTATAGTTTCACAAAACAATAACAGGAATAATAGTCAGTCAACTCAAAGCAAAGTCAGGATTTTTGATCCGACAGATTGCTAAATGTTCTTTAGCCAATTCAACATCCACATCATTCACAAAGAACAGTGTAATTCTAACGAAATTTAAACGATTAATTTTCGAAGCTCACCAAATATATGAGGTTTCCTTTGATATGAAGCTCAGACAGTTTACCACACACGATGAATACATTGACCGAGTATGCGATGCATAATCAGGCCCTCCTGTGACACCACCTCCGAGACATTCAATGCCGGAGGCTCATCAAAGAGAAAAGCATTGTAAGGAAGCCGATGTACTAATTGCTCACTCTAAAATAATTCCATTACAATGTCATTACACAACCATGTTGCCATTCCATTCTAATTAAAAAATATCTAACCACTGTTACCATTACCAACAATGTCATCTTAAAAAAAAACAAAAAACATGTGTCTGAGCGGGCCCGGTCAATCACTAACTGACTGTAAATGCTCCGAATCAGTGCATTGTTATATTGTTCCATATAACTCCAATTTAGAATGCACCTAATCGATCACGTGTATGTCAATGTCGAAGATTTGTACAGTAATGCTATCATGACCCCC